AGGGCAATGAATGTACAAATGCACTTTACACAATTGATGTATGTATGGATTGTGATAAGAGTTGTATGAGCCCCTAATAAAATGATTAAAAAAAAAAAAAGCGTTACCATCTTCCTTCCTTTTCATAAAAAAACCCATTTTTCCCCTCAGATACTTAAGAAGGCTTCAAAGTGTGGGCCCTCTTTCTTTCTTTACTAAGATTTGTACTCGCAATTTCCAAGTCAGAAATTGTAAGTATAAAAGTTTACACTAATTTATCTTCACCTATATCTTTTAAAAACGTTGAGGCAACTCTGTAATTAAATTACACCTCAAGTAATGATATGCTGGAATTTACCTTTCAATTAAGTAAGTATCAGTCACCCCTCAAACTCCTCCATCCCCAGATGGCTGGGGCACAATTCCAATTCTGCACTAACAAAAATATTTTATCAGATTACTTCCTAAAAACATTCCAGAATTTAAGAGTCTTTGAGATAGGACAGCAAACCCAACCACAGGACACACCTCTTTATCCTTCAGTCCTAGGAGCAGCACCTCCTCCATCAGGGTGAGACGGATATCCTTAGAGGCTCCGGAGTCTGCAAGGTCTGCATTCTTCTCTTGATCTGTGTCTTCTTCATTTTCCAGTTTCTTTTCAGAGTTCTTGCCTACTTCAGTGCGACGGTTCCGGTGAGTTAAAGTGGTCATTCTCACTTGTCTCTGGAAGGGGTGGTAAAAGGATTATCTGCATGCATGTATGTACACGAAAGATATATACATATAAAAATATTTACTAACTTAAATAAAGGAAGGAACAGTGACCAGAAAAGTTCAATTTGTAAAACAATTTCAAAAATTAACAGGTCACTGATAAGAGGTCAAATTAAGAATTCTAAAAGCCCACCAGAAATGATAATCTTTTAAGTCTCTTTACTTTTTTTTGCATAACCATCAACCTAAGACTGACCGCCTACCATTGTTAACTCCTCTGTCACAAAATGGATCCCTAAGTTTGGGACAGGAAAAATGTATAAATAACAGGCCCAAAATGTATAAATAACACTTTATATTAAGTGCTTTTCATTGATTCTATAACACATATAAACAAAATAGAAAATAAAAAAGGATGAGAAAAACTAAATAGGACACTTTCCGATATTCACTACTCATATGCTTATGATTATTTCATGTATTCACTTATGGAGATCACTAGTCTACTGACTAGCATTCAGAAGAACATCATAGTAATTCCACGTGTCCAATAAATATTCTTTGCATCTCTAGAATTAACTAGTCATCTTGAAAATACACATATATCTGCCAACAAAATGAACTGACAACCATGTTAAAAGATTAGCAAACCTTTTTCAAATTATAGAAAAAAATTGAAGCATATGCTCTTTTATACCATAGTCTAGTTTTAAAGAAACCACTAATTTACGTATGTGATAAATTTTTAAGTTGGCATGCTTTGGCTATATCTAAATTTGCTTTTAAGACATACATAAACCAACCTCATTGTCATCAAGTCAATGCCAACTCATAGCAACCTTACAGGCCGGACAGAGCTGACCCTGTGAGTTTCAGAAGTAACTTCTTAAGAAAGCAGAAAGCTGGTGGTTCTGAACTGCTGCAGTTAGCAGCCCAAGGTGTAACCACTGCTCAACCAGGTTTCCTCCAAGATAACCAATAGTACTCCCCAAAGTGCTGCCACCAAGTCAATTTCCACACATACTCTACAGGATGGGGTAGAACCGCCCCCGTGGATTTCTAAGACTGTAATTCTTTATGGGAGTAGAAAGCGTTACCTGCCTTCCGAAGAACAGCAAGACACGTCACCATGAAGATAGTCAAGTCTTAATTAGCAATTATTTAAAAGAACAGTGCCCCTCCCCCAAGGTCAGAGTAATGGCACTTGAGAGCCTCTGCTCTCTATTTGAACTCCTGGCAGTTCTAGTTGCAATGAATTCTATGCACTGCTGTCATACCGTGTCTCAAACATGCCTATGCTTTCTGCCTCTGCACCTCTGTTTATGCTGAGGGTTCTCTCTCTTTTCCCGTCTCTAAATTCAACCTAGTCTTCAGAGGCCTGTTGAAAACCCACTCTGAAGACTCGTCATGCATTTCCTTCTCCATTATACCCCTGCCCATTGTCAGAACTGGTCTCTTCTTGCACTGTATTTCCACAGATCTGTAAATATACTTACTTCCTTTAAAGTATTTACTATGCAATCTTAATTTGGGTGTAGCTGTCTCTCAACCGTAACTTCTTGAGGACCGACAACTGTCTTTTTTGGTTTTTATTCTTTGTTTTTATGTTCTCCACAGCAACTAGCACAATGTCTTTTAATGTTGTAACTGATTAATACATATGTACTGATTAAAATGTATACTCAGAAATGCATATGAACACTTAAATTAGAAATATAAGTGAAGTGATTTTCAAAAGGTCTTAAACAAGGATAATTTTCAAATCTGATTCTTGGCAGAAAGAAGAGTGAATGAGGAAAGAAAAATGAAGAAGGAAGAGAGCAATGAAAAATGCTTCAGGGCGCTAACCCTACCTGGCAATGTGAACAGAATATACTTCTTTAAGCAATCCAAGAAACTTTAAACGTTAAGGGGGAAAAATAATTTTCTTCGAGAAATTAATTCGCCCCAGGTATTTACTAGTTCCAAATCCTACGTGAAGGAAAAATGGCCAAAATAGATTTAGAAACCAAAAATCTTCCTCTCCCATGAAATTAAAAAAATTATTTTTAATTTATTATTTTGGACGTTAGAATATGTATTTTACCCGTTGCTTACCTGATATTACTCCTGGGTTACAGCTGGATGCAGATTGCAGCTTGCGCTATATTTTACAGGGGGACACCTGTCCCCCACCCAACCCACCCCGGTCCTAGTGGGTGAAAAACTTCTCAGCCACGTAGAGAACACAAACTTCCTGATGCTTCGATGAAGAGAAGGAATAACACATCAGCTTCCTTAGGATCACTAGGCAACCTACCTTGGTGTTTCTTCATTGGGCCAATCAGAAACCACCAAGGTTGAGTCCAGCCAATCGAAGCTTACGAGGGGAGGCTCTCCCCAGGCTATTGTGTTGCGATCCAGACAAACACCACCAAACGGAGGCAGGTTTGGGTTTAACCTGACAGCTGGTCAATCCAATGAAGGAACCTTAGTTGAAAAGAGGAAAGAGCACTCCGTTCCCCACCCCCATTAAACCGGCCAATCAAAGCGTCCAATGAGCTAACACAGGCAATCGATTTACACAGGCTTCTGTTGGACTACCTCAATATAGCAGGTGTGTTACTGTAGCAGTATATATTGGGGCAATTAGGTGAGATTTGTTGGGCTAAAGCAATAATTCAAAGAATAAACATTTTAATATTGTTTCTGACAATAAGCTTATCCCTTATTGCTTGCTCCAGAAAAACCTGATGGGTCAGCTTGTAGACATTTGGGTTACATGTACCATGCTTTTGGGTACATTCCTGCTTACTAACATTCACTCGTGATTATTACTGGCAAAGCCAATGTCAATGTATGTTATCAGAATATAGCTGCTGCAAATGCAAGAGGCAGACAGACCAAGTTTTAAGTCTGTCTAAAGAAAAAGTAATGGGTAAGGTTAGAACGAGGGCCCGGGTTTCCACCAAAAAGCACATTATTTCACATTACTATTCAAAAGTTCTAAGAAGTGTGTAACTTTCTTGCAAAGTAATACCTACTGAAATGAATTAAAAATTATTTAGTGCCTAAACGTTTTCGACTAAGTAAAAATTAAAAGACATGACTCTACATGCTGAACAATATTTTATTTAAATTGAAAAAACCTAAAACACTCAGATTAAAAAAAGTCTTTCCTGAAGTAAAAGTGTTTTTTTAAAAAAGGCTATGAACTTTTAATTGGACATTATGCATTATCATGTTAATACACTATAATTAAAATAGTGATAAACATTGTTTTAACAGCACAATGAAAAACATACTAGGTAAGTGATAAGTTTTTACATACATAAAAAGTGCATCCCTACCAGATTTTAATAAAATAAACATTTTTTTTCCAAAAAATTGCTTTTAGGGGGGCTTAAATGTTAATATATGTTTAAAGCAAGTATTCACAAAAATGGAAGATAGATAAACAGTAAGCAGACAATAAACTGAGTCAGTTACAATGTTGTTAATGTTGGCCTTAGAATTTTTTCCTTGGATTGTGTCAGATAAGAATAAGGACTACAATATAATATTCTGCTAAGAACTTCATTTTAGTATATGACTACTTAAGATTACAGAAAAAAGTTTCAGAGGTATGGAAAACATACCTTAAAATAATGATATAGTGTCCTTTAGTTAATGTTGAGAAAAACTTTGCAAACATGTAGAAAAGAGTTTTTATATATGCTCCTTTGGTTCACTAAACCTTCTCCTTTTTGGCATTGATACTTGACTGGGAGAATCAAAATGGTGGAGGGCCTGTTAAAAGAAAACACCTACTTAGATACTTTCAGTTTAAATGTCTTTAATTTAAAATGGTTTTTTTTCATGTTTGAGGTTTCTTTATTATTGTGCAAAGCAGAACTATTTCCTATTAAAATAAGAATGCCTGGGTTCTTAAAAAGTGAGTTAAAACATGACTGTTAACATATTAACACATTTACATCTATCTTCCAATGGTCATTGGAAGTAAGTACTTACCGAACATAAGGCCTTTATTAGGGTTGTTGGAATAGTTGAAAAAATTAAAATATTATGTTTTAGTAATATTCAAATATTTGGTATCATGTGAAAGAAAAAAAATCAAAACATGAACTACAAATAAAAAGGCATTCTTTAGCACCATGGAAAATTTAAACGATGCTTTCCTTATTTTGATTTTTAGTGCTCCGTAGTAACTAATAAAACAAAACCCCAGAAAAGTCAAACTGATACACAGAGACAGAGTAGAACTGTCCTTTTGGGTTTCTGAGACTTTAAATCTTTACAGGATCAGAAATCTTCATCTTTCTCCTGCAGAGCAGCTGGTAGGTACAACTGCTAAACTTATGGTCAATGGCCCAACGACTCACCCTTTATCCCAAAAGAGTTCCTTCCTAGTAGTACCTGATAAACCAAACTCACTGGCATGGAGTCAATTCTGATTCATGGTGACCCTATGGAGCAGGGTAGAACTGCCCCTGATGGTTTCTGAAACTGTAACTCTTGACAGCAGTAGAAAGCCTCATCTTTTTCTTGACTAGTAGGCTGGTGGTTTTGAACTGCTGACTTTGTGGTCACCAGTCCAACCACTAAGCCACCAGGGCTCCTTGTAGTACCTGACAGACATTAGAAATTCAACCCAAGTTTCTAAATGAAGAATGAATTTGGATAACACCTAATAAGATTCCCTGGGTTATTGAATTTTTATTTGGATGGAAAAAGTCACGCTATCCAGGGGTTACAAACTGGATTAATAATTGGAAAAAATTTAAGAACTTAAAAAATACTAATGAAATATCAAGTTACTAAAAAAAAAAAATCAAGTTACTCTATTCCCTTAAATTATTTAAATTAAAAATAGTATTAACCAGTTATATTTTTGAGACTGCTCTTTAATATCTTATTTTTTAAATATTCTTAAGATTAGAACTATTTAATTTTAACTAATAATACTAGAAATTCTAGTCAGAAAAAATGAATATAAACATTTAGCTCAGAAATGTCAAGTGTATTATCTGTCTTAAGACTGAGGTCAGGAAAAGTTGTCTTTCTCCCTCTATATATTTAGAGAACACCTGGATTTGACCACTTACCTTATATCCACCTTAGTTTGAGCCTCTAGAAAGCCCAGTTCAAATTTGCGGCTCAATTTTGTTGTTAGCTGCTATAGAGTCAATTCTGACTGGTAGCAACCATATGTATGCAGAGCATAATTGCTCTACAGAGCTTTACAAGCAGAAGCAGATCACTGGACCTGTCTTATAAGGAGTCTCTAGGTGGATATGAACCCCTTCCTTTTAGCTAGTAGTTTACTACTTAAATGTTTGTGTTATCTAGAGGCTGTTACAATTTCAGCTTGTAATTAACAAAGTGGCTTGAATGTTCTTGCATTGTAACTTTCTTATTCCACCCATATTCTTTCTGACACTGATTTTTACTTTAGAAAATTCCTCTAACTGCTTCAAATCATTTATAGAATGAGGCAGTAAATATTTAACACACGGCTGTACAGTTCATGCTGACTCAAAGCAACCCTATAGGGCAGAGTAAAACTGCTTCATAAGGTTTCCAAAATTGTAAGTCTTTACAAAAGCAGACAACCTCATATTTCTCTGGTAAAGCAGCTGGTGGGTTTGAGCCACTGACCTTTCCGTTAGCAACCCATGGCTTAACCCACTGCAGGTGGGTTAAGAATATTTAAAAAATAAGATAGACCCACTGAGGTCTATCTAAGGATATTATATTTATCATTTGAATTATCATTTTAATTTTATTCTATCTTGATAAGATTCTGATATTTAAGATTTTATTCAACATACAACGGGGTACCCCCCCAAAAATGGAAAAAAGCTCTGCTCAGCAGAGCTTTCATAGTATGCATTTTTCCCCATTAGGCAAGCAAATTAATTATGCACCCAGTGGCTTCTTCTGGGAAGGTTCTCTCTGGTCAGAGTGAATTTTTTTTCATAAAAACAGTTTCACTCAAACCTCATCTTTTGTACTGGCTGATTTAAGAGAACAGTGTGCAGCTGTGAAATTTTGTTTCCTGCTTAGGGAAAAATGCCACAGAATCTGTTGTGATGTTGAACACAGTTTATAAGGCCAGTGCTATGGGCAAAATTCAAGCATACGAGTGGTTTTCTTGTTTCAAAACAGGTGAACTGTTGATTGATGACAATCTTTATTCTGCATGTCTGTCAACTTCCCAAACAGACGAAAATGTTGACAAAATTGGTGCGCTTATGTTCCAAGACCAACGATGGACCCTTAAAGAGATGGGGAAGTGATCTGGACGATCTTGGAGTTCCTTTCAGCAAATTTTAACGGAAGATTTAGGAATGAGAAGGGTTGTTGTGAAATTTGTGCCTCGGGCTCTGAGTGACCAGGAAAAAGAACATCCAGTGGAAACATGCCGTGCTTTGAAAGAACAGATCCAAAGAGACCCAGACTTTTTTACCAAGGTCATTACTGGTGACGAGACATGGTGCTATTCTTAGGACCCTGAAACCAAACATCAATCACCTTGCCCAAAAAAAGCTTGTTGGGTGAAATAAGAGATCAAGCTGATGCTCATTTGTTTGTTTTTTTATGTAAGGGGCATAGTGCATTTGGAGTCTGTTCCACCAAGTCAGGCTTTTAATTAAGCTTTCTGTTGAAGGTTCTGAAAAGACTGTATAACAGTATACAACAAAAAAGGACTGACTTGTGGCAGGCAGGGGACTAGTCATGCCACCACGACAATGCACTTACTCACGCAGCCATCTCAGTGTGCCAGTTTTTGGCAAAAAACAGCATGATTCTCTTGCCCTATGCACCTTACTCACTTGACCTCCCTCTGTGATACTTCTTTTTGTTTCTGAAAATGAAGAGGGACATGAAAAGGCAGTGATTTGACAATGCAGAAGAGAAGAAGAAAAAAACGAGGGAGGTACTGTCAGTTATCTAAACAGGTGAGTTAGAAAAATGTTTCCAAGAATGGAATCTCAGAATTGACAAATGTATTAAATGCAAAGGAGACTACTCTGAAGGTGATAAAGTTGTTTTGTTAAAAAAAGAAAAAGAAAAAATTAATACACAGCTTTGAAAAAAAATTCTGTTTTTTTTTTTCCTTCTTCATTTTTTTGGTACCCTTCATATACAATAGTCATGAGACTTACTGTTTTTCCTGATTCGGGCCGTTTTCTCTTCTGACTTTCTTTAGAAGATTTTACTGGTTGATTTCCATTAACCTCCACAGAGAAAGAACAGCCAATGCTTTATTGTTCATCCTTATGTAACCACAGGCAGTTTTAAAATGAATTTTGTATGATGATAAACTATTAATTATAATATTAATATTCTTTAAAAGGAAGTATTTCTAACACTTAAGATACCCTTTTCAAGAGGGTCATATGGGAGTATAACTTCATACAAATAAAAGTATCGATTGTGGATACTTCTACATACATATTTATAAATAATGTGTGTATACTCATATATATAGAGAGAGCCCATAGGGGGGTACAGTTATATAAAGTACTTAGACATCAAGACTAAACAGCTGGACTTGAGTGTTAAGACCATAGTCTCAGGGGACATCTAGATTAATTGGTAAAACACAGTTCATAAAAAGGCAGTTTCTACATCCTAAGAAGCCTTGGTGGCGTAGTGGGTTGGTTACATGTTGGACTGCTAACTGCAAAGTAAGCAGTTCAAAATCACACTCCATGGGAGAAAGATGAGACTTTCTACTCCTGTAAAGGTTTACAATCTCAGAAACTGAAAAGGGCAGTTCTACCCTGACCTATAGGGCCACTAAGAATCAGGATTGACTCAATGGCAGTGAGTTAGGTTTTTGAGAATCTGGTGAGTATCATCTTAGGTCTTAAAAAGCTTGACAGTAGCTATCTGAGAAGCAGCCATTGGTTTCCCTCTTCCTGAAGACTCAAGGCATAAATGAGTCCCATGTACTAATGGCCCACATGAACCACAGTCTTCTCTAACTTGAGACCAGAAGAACTAAATGGTCCCTTGCTCCTATTGCCATCCACAGTGACCAGGACACCACAAAACAAGGGACTTCAAAAAGTTAATGGAAAAGTCCCATTTTCTCACAAACTCTTTAAAGTCCCTTTGTAGAAAGTTCTGATTAAAGGGGTAAACAAATGTAGAATAAAATTCAAATTAAAAAGAAAAAAGATCAGACTAAATGGTCCAAAAGAAACTGGAGGAATCCCTGAGACTCTTGACCTAAAACAACCTTCTAACTTGAAACTGAAGAAACTTCCAGAAACCACCTCGCAGTCAAATAACAGATGGGACTATAAAACAAACAGTAACACCTGTGAAGAATGTACTCCTTAGAACAATCAAGTATATGAGACTAAAAGGGCAATAGTTGCCAAAAACCAAAGGCAATAAAGCAGGAAGGGTTAGAGAAATTGGATAAACGGAAACGGGAAACCCAGAGAATGCAGCCAATGTCATGGAACACTGTGCATGTATAACTGATTGGAAAACTAATTTGCTGCATAAAATTCCACTTAAACATAATAAAATGTTGAAAACAAAATCAACAAAGCCTTTTTCAATTCTAAGTTCCATAGTATATATACTATTAAATATTTTCAGTTCCTTGCCGTTAACCAGAATTTAGTTAAGAGAACTACGCTAAAAGTTCACAACCCCAAACATGGGCAATTAAAGAAAAAAAAAAAAAAGACCTGATGTCACCATACATCTTAATGCTAAAAAGAAATGTTGCCTAGTAGAATATACTAGATATATCCTAGTTAAGGATCATCTTAAATATGAATAGAAGCTGTTTAGGGAGCAGGTTTTGCTGTTAGAGGTAGTAATTCATGACTTTCCTGTATCTCTCATTTTCATATAGTTCAAATGCTGTCTTCTTACCAGTTCTAACTTCCCCTTGCATAGAAAAAAAACACAATTAAAAATGGCACTATAATCGTGTTGGCAAATGTTTATCAACTAGTTCTCCAACTAGCTTTTAAAACAAAACAAAAAACACCCTGATCTGAGCCACTTGATTTTTGTTCTGTGTACACTCCCACCATGTCAAGGTCCCAGCATAATGCCACTGAATCAGGAGTTGGGAAGAAATGCTAACAACTGGATTTTATAATCCAGTTCTAGCCTATCACTAACAGTAATATTTTATAGAATGCTTTTTCTTCATCTCTGAACCTTTGAGAGTAATTTAAAGATCGAAAATAAAATATTAATTCATACCAGAAACAAATAGTGACTTTTTTACAACATAAAATTCACTTATGCAAATTATGTATTACTTTTATAATGCCTTAACAAGTATTACGTAAATATTCAATTTACAAGCTAGAACATGGGAATATTTTGTCATCCTAGGAAATTTCCTTGGGAGTCTGGACAATAGGGTAACTTTTCAAAGTCTTTCCTGCATTCCCCTCTATACTACACCATCAGGAAAATTAACCACTCCTTTTGTGCCTTTGTTTATCCTGTTGAGATTTTAATTATAGCTAAATATCACTGCCTGTTTACTTCCAATTAATAAACTTTTAGCTAAGACCTGGAACTATATACGGTTAGTGTATATCCCCAACACCTAGTAGAGTATCTGATGTATAATAAGTCCTTCATAAATATTGCTTCAATAAGTGAAATATTAAAACTCATCATAAACTCACATAGGAGGGCACATTATCAGGTTAGAATGGAGAACAAGCCTAAGGAAATACCATCTTATTCTGAAAGATTTTACCACTTCTTGTTTTGCCTTCAGACATAGCAAGTTCAGAAGTTTTACTGATTAACTGGTCAACCTGAAAAGTGAGATAATATAAAACACAGAACAAAAACTCCAAGGCAAAACAATTGGTTTCTATTTATCTGGAGCAACAGAGGAAGGAGGAGAGTCAGGAATAGGAGGAGGATATTAAATATGCAGCTAATTGTGTCCATGAGCAACTGCCTCTTTTGCCGTGAGACCACAACGGGATGATACCCAGCTACCGTTACTGAACATTTGGATAAAAAGTTCCATAGGAGAATCCTGATCAAAAGGAAGAAGATATAGAATTTCAAATTCTCATGGATTCTAGACCTTCTGGAACTGTAGGGGAGGGAAGTGTGAATGAATCCCTGAAATTACTGCCATGAGATAATCATTAAACCTTGAACCAAAAATATCTCCTAATGTCATAAATAATAATTCAATTGAATTAGCAAAATTGAGTATCAGGTTCCCCCAAATCTCCGCGAATTCTTTGCAACAGTTCATATGTTACAAAAGCATTGGATTCAGTTTTACTGCGACGTTTCCTCCTTTTGTAACCACTCAGACCAATGTTCAGATCTGTTGGAAACTAGGAATTTCAAGGCTGTGACTCTTTAAAAGAAAAACAGTTTGTCCTTTTATTTGTGGATTCTAACACACACAGAGAGAAAAACATAAAAAATAGAGTTGCACATTCCATCTCATCAGAACAGTGTCAGTATCCCAGTAACCCCTTCAAATGTCTGTGACTGTTTCTTTTGATGTGAAAACTATTTTTCTTACTTTTTTTCTTTTGTAATAGTGGTGTCATGTTGTATTTGCCTTTGAGACTGACTTTGCTGAGCATAAAATCTCCCAAATGTTCTATAACATGAGGTGTTTGATGGTTTCATTATTGTTTTTAAAATATGCATAATATTCCATTGTACGTAAGTACCAGAGTTTACTATCTATTCCTCCACAGTCAGGCTTTTTGGTTGTTTCTATCTTCTCACTATTAAGAAAGTATTGAGATAAACATAGGTGTGCACATATATGTTCTTATTTTGTTCTTGATTTCTTTGGGGTATATACTGAGTAGAGAGATTGCAGGGCCATATAGTATATCTATTTGCATTTGTTTAAGGAAGCATCATTCTGTTTTCTATAGTGGCTATACAATTCTGTAATCACATCAGCAGTATGAGTGTTCTATTCTCTCATCCTCTCCAGCATTTAAAATTTTCATTTTTAAAAAATTTTGCTATCAGTGTCAGTGTGAGGTAGTATCTCATTGTTTTAATTTGTATTTCTCTTATAGCTAGTGAATTCAAGTATTTCTTCATATGATTGTTGGCGCATGGATGTCATCCTTAGGGAATTGTCTATTCATGATTTCTGCCCATTTTTTTGGATAAGAGTATGTGTTTTTCTTATTAAAATTTCCAGAGATTATTGCGATCAGCCCGTTATTCAATATATCATGCCAAAAAAATTACCAGTCTTTGGGTTCTCTTTTTATTCTTTTTTTTTCTTTCTCTTTTTATTCTTTTAATGAAGTCTTTTAAAAAAATCATTTTATTGGGGCTCATACAACTCTTATCACAATCCATACATACATCAA